CGCATCGCGGGCGCCATGACAGAGGGGGGGCGCACGTGAATATGGGGCTGATGAAAAGGGGAAAGCGGAGCGGGAAGAATCCGAAACATGAAAAACAACTGAAAGTGCCCCCCCGCAAGGCAGGGGCGCTATTCAAGGCCCCCCCGCCCCCCCCCTGGCCGCGGCCGCGGCCGCGGCCGTGGCCGTGGCCTTGGCCGTGGCCGCTGGGGCCTGGACCGACAGGGCGAGGAAGGAAAAACAAAGTGCCGCCCAACGCCCGCGCGCCAACAGAAAGCGAAGCGGGGCGGGGCAGCGGAACAAAAAAAAGGGCTCGCAGGAGGAAGCGGGAGGAGAACGAAGGAACGCGCTGCAACGCACCACCGCGCGGCTGCAGCACATCGCAACGTGGAGTGGCGCCCGATGCACCTGGGACTCAACGCGGACCAACCCGCCGCAAGCAAGTCCTGGCGGACGAGCCGCTGCCAACTGCAGCGCGCCCCGACGACCGCAAACGAACAGCCAAATCCGCGCGGCAACGGAGAGGCGGAGAAACCACCAATAACACGCGGGGGAAAGGACGACCCAAGCCAAGCAACAAACTGGGAAACACCAAAATAACAGAGGGGGAAGAGAATCGGAAAAAGGGACAGACTGCACAAAGCAGATCCTACCCCGCGCGCAAGCGACGTCCTTCTCGCAAGAGCACGGGGCGCGGTGACGGGGGCGACGCCTGCGCGGGGACTGTGGCGCGCGTGGGGCGCGGGAGCTTCGTGCGCCAGATGGGCCGCAGGAGCTGCGCGAAACGCAGCGTCCGCATAATGCACATGGGCCGTGCGATCCGCGTGCGATGGGGGGGCGGGGGGCCGCGTCGGACCAGCGAGGCAGCATGGGCCGCGCGAGGCGCGCGGGCACCGCCTGCAAAGGGTTGGGGGATGTGCGCGGGCAGCGCGAAGCGCGCGGGCCGCGGGCGATATACGAGCCGCATGGCAGCCTGTGCTGCCCAGGCCGCGAGAAGTGCGCGATCCGCGCGGTAGTTGGTCCTGCGCGCCGCCAGGCAGACCCTGCGCGAGCGCCGCAGGACTGGTGAACACTTGAGGCCCACTGAATACCACGTCGTGCGCCCACTCGGGGAACGGGCCCCCGCTGCCACACATTCGGGCGAGAGCCGCGCCGACCAAACCAACCTATCACCCAACCATCAAACACAACAGCATCAGTTGAGACGTCCTCACACTTCGCGCGAAGTTTGAAGGAGAGGGCGCGCACCTTGTAAGTGTATTTCGTTGCTCGACAACGACGGGGGCAAAGACCAAGGCGACCAACCAGTCCAACCACGCAGTCGGAAGTCTCGGCGCCTTCGCTTGCGAGTTCCCCGCAAACCGGGCGCCGAAGCAAGGGCAATGCGTATATCCAATACTGCTGAATGGCAAAGCAGGGTTGGTGAGGAGGGAGGACAGGGAACGGACGAATCAAGAAGAGGAGGAGCAGCAAAAACACCGGACTGGGGACCGGCGTCAGGCCTCCGTCAGCCGTCGGCTGCCGATGCCTGGGTTGGACACCTCCACGCTGGGCTCCGAGCGTTGCGGCGTCGCCGCGGGGGAAGCGGGGGAAGGGAAAAAAGGACGCCATCCCACGCCCATCCGACCACAATAAGCGAGGGGGGGGAGGGGCAGAAAGGAAGGGCGCGAGGAGGGAGAGGGAAGGAACGCGCCGCAACGCACCACAGCGCGGCTGCAGCGCAGTGGGAACTGGAGCAGCGACAAATGTGCCTAGAATGCAACATAAATCAACCCGCCGTCGACGAGGCCAAACAGACGAAACGTTGCTAACTGCAGCGCGCCCCGAAACCCAAGTGGCCAGCAAAATCCGCGCGGCATCATCAATGCGGAGGAACCGAAGAGGACCAAGTGGAAAAAAGGAGGACCCGAACAACGAACGGGAGAGCGGCGGAGGGAGGGAAGAGGAATATACTCAGACGGGCATGGACTGCACAGGCCACATGCACGCGCAGGTAGGAGCCTCTCAAGAACGAAATGCTGCACAAGCAACGGCAGGACAAATGCTCCGTTACGAGAAATCCCAATGTATGCATCGGTCATTTCCTCCTCCTCCTTCTCCCCATCCTCCTCCTCCTCCTCCTCCTCCCCCTGATCCCCCTTAACCACGTCATTTTTCATTGGCCAGGCAGCGCGTAAATTTCCTTGTGATTTCAGTATACGAACGTCGGAAAGTGAACGGGTATGTACGAAACTGGGAGAGCCGAGACATCCTCGCAAGATGAACGCGACAGCGCCCGTGGTGTACCCTCTAGCGCCTCCCCCCCCTCGGTCCCCACGTGCCACGCCTGCTACATCTCGACGACCACGCATCCCTGAACAACACAAACAAATCATAAAAACCAGAGTTCCGCATGAGGCATCCCTACAAACTGGGCGCAAATGGGTGCGCGCCCTACCCGCGGTTACATTGCAGCGGTCACACACCCCTGAACAGAGACACGTCTTCCTCTCCACAACCAGCGTTTCACATGAGATATCCCCACAATCTGGGCACTGACGCGCATGTGTCCTGCCCCCTGGCGTCTAGCCCTTGTAGAGCCGAAGTCGTATGTCTACTACGTCGTCGCCGGGCCTGCGCGGCCCTTACAAAAAAAACGCGTCGACATTCCCAAAACAAACGGTTCGATTGACAAATCCACACAGTCTGGGCGCGAACGCACCGGTGATGTACCACCTGGCGCCTCTCCAGTGTCGCCCAAAGATGATGACTGCGACACCGCGATTGCCACGGCCTGAAACACACATATTTGACTTCCGTAAGCCACCTGTTCGCAGGGGACGTCCCCACAATCTGAGCGCCAACGGGCAAGTGTCCGACCCTCTGGCGCCCTCCCTCCCTCTCTGGGGTATGTACCCAAATATTCGCTTTCTTCGTGGCGGCCTGAAAAAAAGCACGCCCACCTCAAAAAGCGCCAGCGTCTCGCGTGAGATATCCCCGAATGCTGGGCGCCAACGGGCAAGTGTCCTACCCCGTGGTCGCTCCCCCTTGTGACGCCCAAGAGCTATGGTTGCGACATCGCGATCACTGCGCGGCCCGAACAACAAGCGAACCGCTGGAGATATCCCCACAATCTGGGCACGAACCGGTAAGTGACCTATCCCCTGGCGGCACCCCCTTGTGTTGCCCAAGTGCTGTGCCTGTCGCATCGCGATGATTCTGATCGTGAAATGGAGACGGAGGGAGGAGGAGGAGGGAGTGAGTAGATGGATGCGCGACACGGATAACAAGAATGGAAAAAGCTCCGCAACATCCTCAACGAAACGCGCAACTACCTGCACAATGATCCATTATGACCGTCGGACCCTTGCTCCGCACGCGCACGACGGAAACTGGCGGCAATCAAGCTGGCCCAATCTGCTGGTACATCGCTTCGATATTGACTTTCGTCAAACGTGCGTTTGATTCGTCCACGTCGTCCAGCCCCCAATCTGAATCAAAAACGCCAGTTTCTGCTGAGACATCCTCTCGATTCGCTCTTAAACTGGCCGCAACGTGCAGCTGACGCTGGCGGTGTGCTGCCCGCGCCGAGGCGAGAGCGCCCGTTTGGACGGACTTTCGGCCATTTTACGGAAGTTCGGCCCGCATGGTAAATAGCAGCTTTTACAGTCCAGGCTGACCCCCTAATTTACCATACCCGCAATACTGGTATCGACGGCAATATCCAGGCACAACTAAGCGTACTGGTACCGCGTGCTCCTGATATTGTACCGTGCCGTGCCGTACCGTGGCCATGATGCCAAAGGCTGACCCCAGCTTTGGCCCACTTATCACCCAACTGGTCCCCCCCCGAAACGCCCCAGAATCAACTACGGAGGTGGCCTCGGAGGCGATTCTGTGAGCCTTCACCATATTAGCAGAAGAGGAAAGTCTAACATTGTCCCACCAAGATCCCCCAGAAGTGGCGACGCTCGCTCCTGGGGTCCAGAGCTTTCGACGAATTACCTGCACAACTCACCGAACCAACACAACCACTTCCAAGTCAACACCGTCATTGCCACGCTGGGGGTTCGGAGAATCGCGCAAGCACGTGAAACGCGGGGCCTTCCCCGTCCCGCACCCTCTGCCCGGGTCCCCACCTCGGCACCACCCCACACATACAGGCAGCAAGACTGCCAGCTTGGTCTACTTGCACAGCGGACCATCCAACTCGCCTGCAGAAGCCGTGCTTACTGCTGAAGGCCGAAACGTCCACAAAGATGGGCCCTCCCCGAAGCCATCCAGGCTGCCCCGACGAATCGCACACAGTGCTGCTCAGCAGCCTCAGGTCACCGAAGCATTTCTCGGAAGAGGGAAAAAGGCTGCGGGAGAAAAGGTCGGCTCCGTCTTCCCCCAACTTCCGAACTCTACTAGCCGCCTCCCAGACCGAGCGGCGCATGTCAGTACGCCAGAAGCTGTCGGAGCACTCGCACAGAAAGCCACGGTCGAACACCATCGCTGGACAACCGCACATCTCACTCTGGAGGCGGAGGAGAAGGAGGACGAGGACCGGCGCGGACGGAGCAGCTGGGTCAAGAGACTCGGAGGGCTCGTGGGGTGAGAAACTCATGGCGTCGGAGGCGTGTGACTCTTATGTAGTGGCACCTTCCTCGCCCACCTGCAATCTGGCTCCGCAGCGGACAGCGCAAGCAAGCTTTGGTACGGCCAGACAATCTCCTAGCTTCTACCCCCAGGGGAGGAAAAGGAGGAGAGGACACCGAATGATAGATCCCCGAACTTCTCAGACGGTGCGTTCCCGGCCAGGCAGGATGTCGGCGTCAACCCGGCCGTGGCGACGAGAAGCCTGCCATGGGCCCGACGAGGGCCAGAAGCTTGCAACGACCTCGATGCTCGGACCTCGAGGCCTCGGGGCCCCGGGAGACTCCCTGGCGGTTAGGTCGGGCATATCCTCCTGCAGGTGGATTTGAGGTAAGAATAATAGCAGACATAAGTAGAAGTAGTAAAGAGAGCACGACAAATCGTCACCAGACTATTTTTACTACGTTCGAGTATTGAGAGAGACATGCCCGACTTTCACACCAAACAGATAGGACGCGCGGTGGCCTTGACCAGCCGGTACTTGTCCGCCGCCTCCCCGCGCCAGATCGCGGCGGACCACTTGCGGGTGACGTCCTGGGCGCTGTGGCTGGCGCGCAACGTCCCCCCCCGCTCCGCTCCCCGCTTTCTGGGGGGGCTTCTGCAGTGCCCCGCGGGCGGGGACATTGACAAGCGGGAGTATCTGGATCTGGCAGCGTCCCAATTTGCAGTGTCTTCGTCTCCGTGGCCCTGACCCCTGTCGTCTCTCCGGCCTCCGGCCTAAGGGGGCGGCTGTGGCCACGAACTACCCTGCCGCCACCTCTTTCTCTGTTGGTCTCGACGGAAGCACCAAGCACGGGCAGCCGAGAGGAATGCGCGGACAGCATTCAATGGTGACGTGGTTCCCGCACACCACCCCCGCAACAAGATGGCCTGGCACAATAGGGACACGACTTCTGCACACACCATCCCCACAAACCAGCTGGTCCGGCGACCTCGCACGTTCGGGGCACGGGGGGGGGCATGAGTCGGCACCCGATTCAAGGGTCCCATCCCCTCCTCTCGACCCCTCGAGGGCCCAGGGACATCGAGGGACCGAGGATCCTCCGGGCTCCCTGCAAAGCCTTTGGGCGGATGGGCGGGCGCACCTTTTGCCCCTGCCCCCCTCCGCTACGCCCTCCTCCGTCGCCGTCCGTCACATTGAAGCGATGCGCCCGGAGGACCCTGACGTCTCCCCCCTCCGTGTCGTCCGTCCTCCTACTGCTCCACCTCCTCGTCCTCGTCCCCCCTGCCCTCTCCTCTGGATCGTTTCGTTTCAGGCGTCGCCGGCATCTCTCTCCGTCTAGTCGTCCTCCCCTCCGCCCTTTCCTCTGCCTGCCCTCCAATGTTCCCCCTTCCCCATCCCTCCCTTCTTTCGGACGCCTCTAGGCGCTAGCCACACCGTGACAGGCCTCTAAACAAGAATTGAAATTAAAATGTGCGCTGAACTCTGCCGTGCTTTGCCGTGCGGCTCTGATGGATGAGCCGCGAGATCGTGCAAACAGCGTCCTCTAAGGCCATGGCTCCCTTCGTCCCTCGCTCCCTCCTGCAGCAGCCGCCGCCCCTCCTCAGAACCTGAAGACTTCAGCTCCCGCCTCCTCGCTCCCACGCGGCGGCGCGCGGCAGGGGGTGGGAGGAGGAGGAGGAGGAGGAGGCGGAGGAGGCGGAGGCGGCGGAGGAGGAGGAGAAGGAGGAGGCGGAGGCGGAGGAGGAGGCGGAGGCGGCGGAGGAGGAGGAGGAGGAGGAGGTGGTGGCTCTCGTGGGCGGGCCCCTGCCTGGCAACTCCCCGTGCCCTCTCGGCGGGCCGCACGCCACGCCCCTCGCCCTGCACCAGGTGTTGCCAGGGGGGGCCCATGGCAGACTGTGAACAATACCAAGACTCGCGCACCAACAAATGCATCGGTATCGTGCTATCTGCCAGCCCACCCTGGCCCCAAACGTACAATGACACGGCGAAAACGGGGACTTTTTTTTTTTTGTTCTCTCCCTCTCCCTCTCTCTCTCGCTCTCTCTCTCTCTCTCTCTTCTTCCCGGGGTGGCCCCAGCCCCCGGTTAATTCGAGCCATTTTGGGGCCCCTGGGGCCCTCTCGGCCTCGTGAGGGGTGCTCTTGAGGCCACCTGTCGCCCTGACTGTGCCCTGTCGTTCGCCGCCGTCGAGGGCGAAAGGGAGCTGCGGTGAGTGAGAAGAGGGAAGAATGGGCCTGCCGCGGGCCGTGGGGCCTGCAAGTCGATGGACGCCTGCGAGGGCCTGCCAGGCAGAAGAGGAAGGACCCATGGCGTGCGAAGGGCCTGCGATGGAGGCCTGCGAGGGCTGCAGGGAGGCACCGTGGCATGCGGTGGGCCTGGAGGGATGGAGGGGGGGAACAGCACGGCAGGCGGGCTTCGGAGGCACCCCACTAGCCCCAGAAGGGCGGAGGTCTCCGCGGGGGGTCTCCAGAGCGCACCAAATGCCTCTGGAGGCACCCGCAGGCCTCCGGAGGCTCAGACGTTGCCCGACGCGACGTGCCGTACCCCAACGAAGAGCCCGACCCGATGCAGCGGAGTGCAGGGGCAGGAAGCCGAGCCAGTCCTCCACTCCGCGCCTGCGACGGCCGTGGATGCGTGCTGCGCGATTTGCCGGCTGACCTGATACAGCCCCGGGAACCGCGAAATCACGAGCAAGGGGGGTGTCTGGAACCGGCGAGCCTTCTCGGCCACGAACAAGCTCCCCGACTGAAATCAAAACGACGACCCGGAAACCAGAGGCCCTCCGGAGCCCCTATCGCGGCGTCTTCACTGCATCACGAGCACCGCATCGCCATACAACGGCAGAGGGCGGCGTGGGGCACGCGCCGCGGGCGCCGTCCGTGAACGTCAGCGGCCACTGATCCTTCCCTCCCCGCTCTGCGCGGAGGGGAGTACGGGCGGGCCCCACCCCCCTCCGCCCGTCCCCACGGAGGGAGGGAGAGAACGGCGACGGCGAGAACGCGAGGACGAAAAGGAGAGAAGGGAGGGACGAAGAGGGTAGGAGGAGGAGGCGGAGGAGGAGAAGAAAAAAGAGGAGCGGACAGAGGGTGAGCAGCAGGCGAGAACGGTGGCGAGATCAGCCGGGGCGGCGAGCGGGGAGGGAGAGGGCAAGGGCTACGGGGGATGTAGAGAGGGGACATGGTAAGATTGGGAGGAGGGGGGGCGACGGGCAAGACAAGCGGGTACCCAGAACCGAAAAAGAATCCGTGCATCCGCCACCGTGCTTTCAGAGCGTAGTGGAGTGCCGCAAGGCTACGTACGCACATGCAAATTTCAAGCATATCGCAAGATCGTAGGTCCTCGAGTGGTGCTTGCCGCGTGGGCCTCTGAGATTCAACAACAGCTCAAACCAATTCTCACATCCTGCAAGAGCCTTCGAAGAAGCGCTCAAAGACTTAAGAACATTCGGAAGGCTCTCGAAGGCCCCAAACGCATCCAAGGCAGTCGGCTCACACAAACCTCCAACAGAGGCTCGGACCTCGCTCCGCAGGACCACAGGGACGGCGAGGTCCCGCTCAGGTCCGCGCGGTGCCTCACTCTGCAGGACCCACCAGCAGCCCTCGAGAGTGGCGACTGCTTCGCAGATCGCAGCCCCCCAGGGACGGCGAGGTCCCGCTCACGTCCGCGCGGTGCCTCCCTCCGCAGCACCCACCAACAGCCCTTGAAAGCGGCGACAATTTCGCAGATCGCAGCCCCCTCAGGGACGGCGAGGTCCCGCTCGGGTCCGCGCGGTGCCTCACTGTGCAGGACCCACCAGCAGCCCTCGAAAGCGGCGACAGTTTCGCAGATCGCAGCCCCCCAGGGACGGCGAGGTCCCGCTCGGGTCCGCGCGGTGCCTCACTGTGCAGGACCCACCAGCAACCATCGAAAGCAGCGACAGTTTCGCAGATCGCAGCCCCCCAGGGACGGCGAGGTCCCGCTCGGGTCCGCGCGGTGCCTCACTCCGCAGGACCCACCAGCAGCCATCGAAAGTGGCGACTGCTTCGCAGATCGCAGCCCCCCAGGGACGGCGAGGTCCCGCTCAGGTCCGCTCGGTACCTCACTCTGCAGGACCCACCGGCAGCCATCGAAAGCGGCGGCTGCTTCGCAAATCGCAGCCCCCCAGGGACGGCGAGGTCCCGCTCGGGTCCGCCCGCGCGGTGCCTCCCTCCGCAGGACCCACCAGAAGCCATCGAAAGTGGCGACAGTTCCGCAGATCGCAGCCCCCCAGGGACGGCGAGGTCGCGCTCACGTCCGCGCGGTGCCTCACTCCGCAGGACCCACCAGCAGCCCTCGAAAGAGGAACGGTTTCGCAGATCGCAGCCCCCCAGGGACGGCGAGGTCCCGCCCGGGTCCGCGCGGTGCCTCACTCCGCAGGACCCACCAGCAGCCACCGAAAGTGGCGGCTGCTTCGCAGATCGCAGCCCCCCAGGGACGGCGAGGTCCCGCTCAGGTCCGCGCGGTGCCTCACCCCGCAGCACCCACCAGCAGCCCTCAAAAGCGGCGACAATTTCGCAGATCGCAGCCCCCACAGGGACGGCGGGGCCCCGCTCAGGTCCGCGCGGTGCCTCGCTCCGCAGGACCCACCAGCAGCCATCGAAAGCGGCGACAGTTTCGCAGATCGCAGCCCCCCAGGGACGGCGAGGTCCCGCTCAGGTCCGCGCGGTACCTCACCCCGCAGGACCCACCAGCACTCATCCAAACTGGCGACAGTTTCGCAGATCGCAGCCCCCCAGGGACGGCGAGGTCCCGCTCAGGTCCGCGCGTTGCCTGACTCCGCAGGACCCACCAGCAGCCTTCGAAAACGGCAGAAATTTCGCAGATCGTAGCCCTCCAGGGACGGCGAGGTCCCGCTCACGTCCGCGCGGCGCCTCACTCCGCAGGACCCCCTAGCAGCCTTCGAAAGTGGCGACAGTTTCGCAGACCGCAGCCCCCCAGGGACGGCGAGTTCCCGCTCAGGCCCGCGCGGTGCCTCACTCCGCAGGACCCAGCAGCCATCGAAAGCGGCGGCAATTTCGCAGATCGCAGCCCCCAGGGACGGCGAGGTCCCGCTCAGGTCCGCGCGGCGCCTCGCTCCGCAGGACCCACCAGCAGCCACCGAAAGTGGCGACTGTTTCGCAGATCGCAGCCCCCCAGGGACGGCGAGGTCCCGCTCAGATCCGCGGGGTGCCTCGCTCCGCAAGACCCACCAGCAGCCATCGAACGTGGAGACTGCTTCGCAGATCGCACCCCCCCAGGGACGGCGAGGTCCCGCTCAGGTCCGCGCGGTGCCTCGCTCCGCAGGACCCACCAACAACCCTCGAAAGCAGCGGCAGTTTCGCAGATCGCAGCCCGCAGGACCCACCAGCAGCCACCGAAAGCAGCGACAACTTCGCAGATCGCAGCCCCCCAGGGACGGCGAGGTCCCGCTCAGGTCCGCGCGGTGCCTCACCCCGCAGAGCCCGCCAGCAGCCTTCGAAAACGGCGACAATTTTGCAGATCGCTGCCCCCCCAGGAACACCGAGGTCCCGCTCATGTCCGCGCGGTGCCTCACCCCGCAGGACCCCGCAGCAGCCCTCGAAAGTGGCGACAATTTCGCAGATCGCAGCCCCCCAGGGACGGCGAGGCCCCGCTCAGGTCCGCGCGGTGCCTCTCTCCGCAGGACCCACCAGCAGCCGCCGAAAACGGCGACAATTTTGCAGATCGCGGCCCCCGGGGACGGCGAGGTCCCGCTTAGGTCCGCGCGGTACCGCACCCCGCAAGACCCACCAGCAACCCTCGAAAGAGGCGACAATTTCGCAGATCGCAGCCCCCCAGGGACGGCGAGGTCCCGCTAACGTCCGCGCGGTGCCTCACTTCGCAGGGCCCACCAGCAGCCCTCGAAAGCGGCGACAGTTTCGCAGATCGCAGCCCCCAGGGACGGCGAGGTCCCGCTGAGGCCCGCGCGGTGCCCCACTCCGCAGGACCCACCAGCAGCCATCGAAAGTGGCGACTGCTTCGCAAGTGCGAGGTACAGCTCAGGTCCGCGCGGTGCCCCACTCCGCAGGACCCACCAGCAGCACCCGAAAGCGGCGACAGCTTCGCAGATCGCAGCCCCCCAGGGACAGCGAGGTCCCGCTCAGGTCCGCGCGGTGCCTCACTCCGCAGGACCCACCAGGAGCCATCGAAAGAGGTGACAGTTTCGCAGATCGCAGCCCCCCAGGGACGGCGAGGTCCCGCTCAGGTCCGCTCGGTGACTCGCTCCGCATGACCCACCAGCAGCCATCGAAAGCGGCGGCTGCTTCGCAGATCGCAGCCCCCCAAGGACGGCGAGGTCCCGCTCAGATCCGCGGGGTGCCTCGCTCCGCAGGGCCCACCAGGAGCCCTCGAAAGTGGCGACACCTTCGCAGATCGCAGCCCCCCAGGGACGGCGAGGTCGCGCTCACGTCCGCGCGGTGCCTCACTGTGCAGGACCCACCAGCAGCCCTCGAAAGCGGCGACCGTTTCGCAGATCGCAGCCCCCCCCCGTCCTCAGGGACGGCGAGGTCCCGCTGAGGTCAGCGCGGTGCCTCACTCCGCAGGACCCACCAGCAGCCCTTGAAAGTGGCGACAATTTCGCAGATCGCAGCCCCCACCCCCCCAGGGACGGCGGGGCCCCGCTCAGGTCCGCGCGGTGCCTCGCTCCACAGGACCCACCAGCAGCCCGCGAAAGTGGCGACAGTTTCGCAAATCGCAGCCCCAAGCGTCGGCGAAGGGAGGCAGGGCGAGGCGGGGCGGGAGGAGTATATAGGGCAAGGCCGCGATGACCGACGGAAAGGAGGTCAGGTCGGGGCATCGGCAACCCGGCCGGGAGGGGGGGCGGAAGCGGGGCGGCGCCTGATGCCGCGGTTGGCGACGGCGGCGAAGTCGAACGCAGCCCGTCGCGCCGTGGCCGCGGCGCTCTCCCGTCGCTCTCTCCGCCCCCCCCTTCACCCTGCGCCCCTGCCGCCCCCTGCCCCGAATGCAGCTCCCAGGCAGGAGGCCTTTCCCAAGTCTGGAAAGATTCAGGAACCCTGCTCTACTGAGGTTATAACTGCAAGCATTGGCCAACTCACGCAACTGGCTGGTGCTGCAACAACCGCGCGAAATGCAGAACACCACATCTTTGTCGCGCCAAAAACACAGCCGGCGGGTGGGGCGCGCCCCCCTCGAGCGGACACGCACGGCCCCAGTGGGCCGAAACGCAGCCCCCGTCCAAGACAGCCCCGAGGAAGGCCCCGAGGAAGGCCGCGGGCTCGCAAGTTCTCGCTCGGCACCCACACCAACGGCGCCGCCCAAAATCACCGGCGGCCATCGGGCACGCGTGCTCCGACTGCAGCGCAGCAGAGCGAAGGAGCCTGGCCCTGGAAAGCCTCGCGCGGGCCCCGGGGGGACGCGGGGGCATCTTGCCCTCCGTCTCCAGGACATTGCACATGACACTGAGCTGGTGATTCTGAACCTTACGAGAGATGGCGTCTGCCACCTGCACCGAAGAGCTCACGCTGAGCGGGGCCTTAACGTCCTGCCCGAAGACGCCCGCGATGATCGGCAATGGCGCTGGCAACAAAAAACTCGGACAGAGCACCCTGTTCCAGAGCCTCCTTGGTTTCCAGATGGCTCGGAACACGGACGAGGAGCAGATCCCTGACACTGAGCAGCTCACGCACGCGAGACCACAAATCGCGGTGGCTGCTCACGCGGGCATACCGCTCAAGGGCACCAGACAAGGGGCCACGAGCAACATGCGCCGAATCGGCCACATAGCCGAGCCCCACACCCTCTGGACTTAACTCTAAAAACTTCGCAAGGGCCCAGAGCTCCCCACGGTTGACGCCCTGCTTCCCCGAGATACCTCCACCAGCAATCAAGGCGAGCTTAGACGCGTCAACCGACTCAGGGAGCTCCTATAAATCTTGCCCAAAGACCGCGAAGCCCCCAAGACACCCTCATAAGCATACGATCCCTCGGGAACCCCCCTCCACTGGCGCCCCCCGCACCCCAGACGTGACCCCCCCCCAAAAAAAAAAACGATGGAAAGGCACCTGACGCCGCGAAGAGAGGCGAGTCGGGGGGGCGAGGGACGTGGGTCCAAGACTTGGGTGTGAGGCCGCGAAGCCAGGGGATTGGGCACTCTTCGGCAGCCGTGCTACCGCTTCTCGCGAAGGCCTCCGAGATCTCCTCAAACTCCAGATTGCCCGGGCGCTCCCAAAATCTATGGGTGTCCGTTTCCGCAGACGCCCCACAGCGCGGGCACAGCTCGTCGCGCTCCCCGCCCGCGCTGGCGATGCGGGCGCGGGTCCAGACCGCTCCTGTTAGACTAGCCCTAAGAAGGCCAGCCTGCTTGACATCCTGTTTTCCTCAGGCTGGACAGGTGGCGCCTGGCGACTGTGAAATCCACGCCAGCTTCCGCGCCTTGACCATTCCTGAATTTCGAAGCTCGAGTCCACAGCTGGGCCTCGATAGAACTAGCTACTTCGCGCTTGAAGTCCGAGGTCATATACGCCTCAGGCCGCAGCTCGTCAGGGATATCAGACCTGTCTCCTGACGGCGAAGTCCAGTCCCAAGGCCCCTCGAGAGTCCACCACATGCCCAGCATCGTGGCAACCGCCGGGATGGGTCCTCTGATGTTGCGCCATCGACGCTTGGGCCCCAGGTCTGAATTACCTGGACAGTTGCGCCCTAGCTGTTGTGCATCCTGGACAGAGCAGCCTCAGAGACCCTGGACACAACCTAGAACCACGACTCCAAAATCGAAAAGACTGAGCTAAAGGCGGGGTCCCTGGGACCCACCTCCAACGCCAAAGCCGAGGTGAGGCACCTGCCTACGGTTCCTCTCGCGAGGGTACCTGCTAAGGCACGCCTCCACTGCATTCGCACCGGAGGGGCGACTCCGAAAACTTCCCCAGCATACGAGGCCTGAGGATGGGGCTCCCGTGAGGGCAAATTTGGGCCCCACCTTACGCGGGGCAACTCTCGCAAGCTCATTAATGCGACGCGCGCGCCGATGAGCCTGGGCGGCGCGCTCGGCGCGGCGGGGCCTGGAAATCTTCACGTCACTGCCGCGCTCCATGCCGAAATCGGCCGACACCGAAGCTACTTCAACAACAATGCCGCTGGATCCTAAGCCAGCTTGAATCCCCCGAGCCGCCGAAAGCTCAGACGCGATGAGGGTAGATTTAGACGCCAACTTCAAGCACCCCCTCTCGCAGCCCTGAGCACAGACGATTCCCGCACGCACAAGGTGCCCAACCACGTCGCGGCGAATCCCCTCCGCCCTCTGGGTGACATCGTCTATCCAAGTTCGCATCTTCACAAGCGCACTGGCTGCAAGAGAGGCCTCGCAAATTGCATGCATCTGGCACTTGGCAACATCAGGCGCCCTCCGATCACCGGCGACCAAGCCTCCTGACGGAACGATGGGCGGAGCAACGTACCCCGCATCACGCAGGATCCTCGGGCCCATGTGCAGGAGGGCTTCCAAAGAAAGACACAAGGCAGGAAAGTCCAGGCCGAGCGCATGCCCGAGGATCTTCTCCCAGCGAGTCGAATCAGCTTCAAAATCCCATCAAGTTTGAGGCCGAGCAGAAGTCGGGCAGCGCAGACGAGAGAGCAGCCTCGTCAGCGTAGCACCTGAGCAAAGCCTCCCGCAGAGCACTGGTGCCTCGGACCGCGGCGCCCCGCGGCCCAGAGCGCTGCTTCTGCCAGACCCCCGCGGGGCGAGATCTCAAGCGGCTCCACAGACGGCCCAGCCAGGTCAGAAGGCCTACGGCGCGGTCCTCGCGCACTTCAGGCTTTCTCAAAAGAACAAGAATTGCTGTGAGCCATTGCCATGGCCAAGCCACTGCACGCTCAATCTGCTCGAATAAACATACTAGCTGCTGGCGGCCCTCCTCAGGCAGCCACCACGCGTCTCGTTACCGCGCGCCGTCAATGCCAGCCGCCTTGGACGGCGATGTGGCCGCTGGCGCCGCCTCCAAATTGTCCGGCGTGATTGGCGGAAGCTCCTCATGCCGTGCGAGCTCCCTGGCCCTCTGCAGAATTCTCAAAACCTCGTCGCTGTCGGACTGCGGCGGTGACCAGAGCTTGTCCCACACCTCGCGCTTGGCCTCCATAAGCGAGGCCCCGTCGAAGGTGGAGACCTGTGGATGCCGAATCTCGCTGACCTCCGCCATCGGATCCTTCGCGTGCCTGTGAAGCGAGACCACGCCGCCGATGGAGCTCTGGCAGACCCAATCACGGAAGCCCTGCAGCCTCTGCCTCGCCACTGCTCTCTGCGATTGCCCCGCAGCCCTGCGAGCAGCTTCGGCCGGCTTCTCCCGAGACCCCTTGGTAATGCCATCCAGCGCGCGAAGAGACCTGATCCATCTTTCCTTACGGCGCTCAGGAAGAGGTACACTTTGACCAATAGGAATAGTGGGCGCCAAGGCCGCCAGTCTGCTCCGCAAGTGCAAGGCGCATGGCGAGGCCATCAGGTCATTCCTCACGCAGACGAACTCGGCAAATTGGCAACCGTAGACCACCATGTGGAACTGCTGTCGGATGTCGTCACATATGGCTTCCATCCAACCATGGTTGTCTTGATGGGGTCATGCAACCGCCCGAGACATTGAAAATCACGCCTCTCATCCCGGTGCACCTGATACAACTCACAAGAATACAGCTCCAGTGTGCTTGACCACTGCAGGAAAATATCTCCAAGTGTAATAGCAGCCTCAGGGTCTGCCCGAAACCCCAAACTGCGTTCCACACAATCAGGCGGCGAAGACTTGCGTACTGCCTGCGCCTTGAGGCTGCCGCACAACAGCTCCTTCGAGGCCCCTGACCATGCATTCTGAATTCGTCTTTTCCTGGAGCTCAGGCTCGCCCTCAGGAGGCGCCTCTGCGTCCTCCTCCACGTTATCGATCCAGAAGTCCTCCTCCTCCATCTCCAGGTGAATGTACTGCCAGACTGGAGGGCTCTTGATACCTAGCCTACGCTTGGTCCCCCCTGCCACGGCGGTGGTCTGGATACGATCGCTGGGAGTGGTAGTTGACTGGGCTCGGGATGCTCTGGGTGTGAACCTCTTACCCCTAGGGCCCGCCTTGCGTTTTGGCCTCGCTGGGTGCTCGAATGCGCGAGGCCTGCGAAGTGTCAAAGCCAAAGCTCGATCCAAATCCAAATCCAAAGAAATCCGCAGCCCGTAGTGAGATATACCTGCGTCCTCGACAGCATCAAAGTCAGCCGCGATGGATGCCGGCAGGTGCCGTGCAGAAGGCGACGCGATAAAGAAATTCAGAATGCGTCCCGGCCCAGCCGTGCAAGTATAATTTGTGTTGTTTGGAAAAGCTATCACTCATCCTGCAATATCTCACCATCCAGACGCCGTCAACTCCTTCGGAGTCACATCCCAGTCATCGACAATGGTCCACATGCCCTGAAGTGTCGCCAGCAACGCACCAAGACTACCAAACTTGTGCGCATTACCCTTGGCCCCGACTCCTGATGTCATGCAAATGCCAACCACGAGTGAGGACTGGCTCCGGGCACGAAGCTGCATGGCCACTAAATCGGTAAAGTCAAGACCAGCTTCCTCCTTTTCCCCAGCTGCCGTAACCCCACTTGGTGATGGGGAGATGCGGCCAGGTGGCGTAGAGAAGCAACTCGATACTTCGTGCGAACTCCCGTTGTGATATTTCCTGCTTGCTCCCGACGGTCCGTAGCGTACGCCGCAAGCAAAACTCCAGCGCAGCCTGACTTCCTCCAATCATGAAGAACGCCGTTTGGGCCCGCAGGCGCCACGTGCGTTTCAGAAACAACAGTGACATCCACTCTTTGGTGCCGAGCCAGAGACTTCGCGGCGGCCCCCCAGCCACCAAGGCTGCGAGAGCACATCGTCCGAATGCTCGACGCTGGAAATCCTCGATCCATCTCCTGGCCGCCAGGATGACGCACACGAGTCTCCAGTCCACCTCGCTGAGGTTCAGCTTCGCAGCAAGTCTGAGCACCCAGCTTCCCGGCGACCTCCTCCGCATCGATCGCGGTCCTGATGGCCCTGCCTCTCGCGCGCGCCTCCTTCTGATCATCCCGAGAAGCGCGCGCGGCACTGGCAGCTCCACGACTCGAGGCGTGCCTGCCCCACTCGCTGGGGGCAGGCTCCAACAAAATTAATGGCGACTGCGCCCAGCCCCTCGCGCTGTTTATGTCATGGGTGCACCTGGGAGCTGGGGCTTGCGTTCTAACACCTGACGAGGGAGCTGACGCCCCCGCGCCTGCAGCACTGCCACGCGCACTGTGCCCCAGCATATTGGACATAAACTTGGCCGTTCTCGAAGAGGCACTCGGTGGTAAAGGCGCGGCCCCCGAGCACCATCTGCTGATGGCCCACCGAGGTCAGGGGGGACATGCAGGCAAGGAGGGCGACGAAGATTCCCCCGCTGCCGCCGCCGATGCCCGCGCCGTGGCGAGGGGGGCCCCGGCGTCCGCCTGCAACTTGGACTCGATGGCCCCCGCCTTGGCCTCCTCGACAGAGTCAGCTGGACCGACGCCTCCGCTAGGGCCGATGCCTCCTGCACGGCGACGGCCGCGGCAGCTTTGGCGGGGGGGGGGGGGGGGGGGGGGGGGGCTGGCACTGCCGCGACCGCTGACGCCTCGGCTGGCGCCGCCCCAGCTGGTCCTGCAGCTGCTCCAGGCGGCGGCGACGGTGAGGCGTGGCGACGCTTCTTCGCCACCCTTACCCCGACAGAGGCCAAGCTCTCGCGGTGCTCCTGCAGCTTCTCCTGCATAACCCCGAACGTGGACTTGAGCGCCTTCATGAGCTCGCCCACGACCAGCTTCTTGCGGCGTTTCACCTTGGCCAGGTCCTGCTCGCCCATGACGCCGTCAGAGTTGTCAAACGCAGGGCCAAGGTTGATCGCGAACATGGACTCTTCAGGCTCATAGCCCCCCAACAAGGAGCGGATATCAATACTTGAGCCCGACTGCGACGCAACCTGGCCAGGAGAGACAACCGTCTTGAATACTTCAGCGCGTTCCTTCTCTGCAAGCGCCAGCGCTGAAGCCGCCTCAGCTAGTGCGCCCTTCACATTCTCGAGCTCCAGCGTGAGGCGAACCTGGCGTGCACGAGCCTTGTCGAAAGCGCCCTGAGACCGCTGCACCTTCGCTGTGATTTCCGTGGCGCGCTGGGCCACTAGGACCGCAGTGGACGCACGCCCCGACTTCGCCCCAGCCTTGGCCGCATCGAGAAGGCTCTGAGCCTTGAGGGCGCCCTGCAACTATTCCTGCAGCGCGGCCCCAACCACAGCCGTGTTCTTGTCAAGCGCCTGGCCAGGCGGCGCCCTGTTGGTGAAGGCCGCCCCGCGCAAGCACGCGTTGTCATGCTGCGCGAGCTTGGAGACCCACGCCCAGCGAGGGCATGCCCTGCGTACCACCTTGCGCTTGTCCCCGCCCCCTGCCTTGTCGCCCCCAGCCGCGCCCTTCTGCCCTTCTGCGCGTTCTTGAACGGCCCAGCAACAGGTGGAGGAGGCGGCGGCACACCCCACAGCGGCCACGTGGGCTGACTCGAGCCTGGCGCCCACTGCGGGAGACCAAAGAACGGATTCGAAGCTTGAGCTGCTTTAGGCCGCTGCCCAGGAAATGGTGGCCAATCTCCGTCGGGGCCCTCCTCCTAAGCTTTCCTCCGGTCTCTGGCCTTCTTTCCTTGTGCCATGTAGTTGACCGACTTTTAGCAATCGCCAATCTTATCTTGATAAGAAATTCGACCCCAGCCGATATCGCGCGGAGATAGTCGGTGGCCCCAATCGCATGCCGCGCCCTCTCAGCGCCGCAAGGGGGTCGGTGCCAAAACGGCTCGGGAGGGGGAGGAGGAGGAGGGGGAGGAGGAGGGACGCGACCACAGTGCTCTATTCAAAACGAATACCCAACCAAGGAGGGTTGGGAAAAAAACAGTTCCAAACACGATGGAAAGACGTCCGGGGCACCTCTCCACACCCAGCGCAGCAGGCCGACCCGATCCTCCAACCTCATCCAGGATCCTCTTGCGGGGTCATGTGCCCCTTACATAAATATAGAAATCCCTTCTGCAAACTAATGGCCCTCCGGGGCCGCCTCAACGACTATCAAAAACATGTATGTCGGAAGAAGTGTGCTTCCGTGCCTCTATTCGCCTCCAGTGCATCCCCCCGCTTGCGTTGACCGGCGCCAGACGTCTTGCACCAACTGGCGCCCTCGATGCTCGCCCTTCCTTGTCGGCGCGCTCCATCAAATGACTGGCTGCGCTGAGCCACTGGCGAGTGCGAATCGCGTGTTCGAGCTCGTCAAAAAAGACAAGAAACGTCGGCACGAGGGCCAAACTCCTCGCATATGAAAGCCCCCGCGAGGGGTCCCCCCCGCCTGCCCCCGCCACTCCGCGGGAGAAGTTGGGCCCCTCTCTTCGTGCAGCACATGCGCCACGACCGCTGGAAGCGGGCCACGAACGAGGCGAGATCTCACAAGTGGCGAAGGCGCGGTTAGCTCGAACACAACTATCGGCCAACCATGTGCTGTACTAGCTTTCATCTTGGGCTCAGACTGCCACGCGGCGAGCCAGAGCTTCAAAAACAGTGTGTCGGCAGGCGGAACCCTGGATCCGTGTTCGTGCACCGCATGTCCAGCACAGTTGCGAGGCAACGGCCCCTCCGAGCTGAACCCGACCCGTGGCCAAGCTCCCTCCTTTTGCCTCATGACCAGCATGTTGGGCCCCGGACGCTGCCCGCAACGCCCCGCTGGCTGGGACCCCGCCTGCTCGAGACGCACACCTGGCCTGTGCCTCCTGGGTGCCCCCGCAAACTCGGCGATCCTGGAGCTCACGGGCCCTGCCTTGGCGACGCGTTTCCTAGCCGTCGCGCGCGCATGCCTGCCGCCTGCCAGCCCCTGTGTCGATGCCGAGGTGCGGAGCTTGCAGCACGGGTCCGACTTTGATCACACGCGCCTTTAACTTGGCGGACATACACTTCGCATCCTAAAACTTCGCGCACAGGCTGACACCTTCGGAAACACCTGCAGGCCATGGGGCTCGAGCTCCTGCACCAATTTCTCACGAGCGCACGTCCTTGAGCCAGCAGCGCACCGTGGTGCATCATCGACTCACAAGGGCATGTCAGCCTGTGGGCGCGCCACACATCAACTGGTCCGACCCCAAGTACGCCATGCAGCGGGCGAAGCTGGGTATCGCCGAGAATCACTTCTCGCTGCGAAGCCCCTGATGGCGCTCCCCATGAGCTGGAGCGCCTCCGAGAGGCTGTCCCGCTGCACCGGCGGCCGAGGGGACAAAGAGAGCTGCAGCTCCGAGTGCAAGACCGAGGGTGGGAACCGTGTGGGCAACGGCCCGGTGGCGAAACTCGTCCAGCAGGCACTACCACCGCAACTTTCAATGTCCAGAGGGACGCTGTCGAGCTCGATGTTTGGAACGACGGCTAACCGCATCTCCCAAAAGCCGAATGAAACCTGCGCGAAGTGGAAGCCAAGAACCCTGCCACAGCCGCGCCCCAAGAAGGTGGGGACTCGGCTTACCAGGCCTTGACCAAAGGCTCTAAACCTGGGAACCATATCTGAGGTACCATTCCGCCTGAAAAGATTATACAATATCACCATGACGTCTCGCCTAGCATGCGACCGATGATCAACAGAAGTTGCGAAGGGACGCAACAGCTGGACTGCATCGAACGACAAACCACTGCTCCACAGATGATCCCAGTGCTGAACTTGTGGTCGATGATGGCATTGGGGTGGTGAATGACCTGGTCAGCAAGGACAGGCTCCTCTGCCAAGGCCGAGGTGGCCTCGAGTTTCGATTGGGCGTGGGCGATGCTGTCTCCGTGGTCCTCCACGCGCAAAGCTCGCCAAGTGGTGCATGCCAACCACGAACTCTTGCCCTCCTGGTGGCACGTCCCGCCGTCTCGACCACCTTGAGCAGCTGCGGAGCCCGAACGTCTCGGGGCTCAACAAATAGACTGAGCCATAATTGAGGGCCGCGGAGCTCGGACGTCCGCGTCGGCCCCCAGCCGCAGCAGCAGAGACGCAAATGAGGAGAGAGGAGAGGGGAGGAGGGTTCGCAAGGCTCCCAGGGTTCGCAAGGCTTCCAGAGAGAGAGAGAGAGGAAGACGAGGAGGAGGATGAAGAGGAGGGCGGCGAGGGAACAGGGGTGGGGGCAAGCCAGGCGCGCTCGCGCCACATCTGCCATCATACCCCTCTGACCCATCTTTTCCCATTGCGGTGATGTTTCCACTGTCCGACGACGGGTGTCTCAACGCGGACTTGGACCCCCTAAAAGGACACCATCGTGTGACGCGCAGTCAGAAACAAAGAGCTGTGTACATAAGAGGGGGCGGAGGAAGAGGAGGATGACGACTAAAATGGATGAGGAAAATCAGTACCCGCACGAGCAGGAGTGGGGGGAGCGGAATGCGCGGGAGGACCAGGGCAAGGATGACACGGGGCGACAACAATGAGGAAAGGAAGGGACCCAGGAAAGTGGCCCGCGCTGGGGCAAGAGCGTCACTCTGATCGATCGGAAGAAAGCAGCAAAGCGCCGATCCTAGAATGAGGCCCACGCTGCAGCTGGAGCACCACTCTGAAATACCGAAGCCGTTCCAATTGACAACGCAATCTGATACATCAACTTTCAACTTCCTATGTACAGTTCTGTACACGGAGAGGCCATGATACTTCCAGCATGCACCAGGGGGAGGGGAGGTCGTAACTGATTACTGTATGAGGCTCCTGAGGTCCCCGAAGATATCCTCAAAGGGCCCCAGAGGCTTTCAAAGAGCCAACGGGGACGACGATAAGGACACGCCCCCTCCCCTCGCCGCCTCGGAGGGAGAGGGGCCCCTGGAGGTGTCCAAACGCCTCCAGAGGGTCCAAAAGAAGTATAAATCGACGCCGACGGTGACGACGAGGACGAGCCCCCTCCCCCCCGCCTCATCGGGGATCGAGCTGTCGTCGTCGTCGGGGGACCAGAGCACGGGCCACCCGTCCTTGTTGGAGACCTCTGTGGCGGCTGGCGGACTCTCCGTCTTCTCCCGCGAGGGAGCGAGCCGGGGGGTCGTCAGACAGCGGGCGAGGAGGGGAGCGCGCCGACGACTGGTTCTTCCCAGCCACCCTGTGGTGTTGGGTCCGCGTTTTGAAGGGACAGCGCCCCGCGTCAACTCCACGCCTAGTCCTCCTCCCTCCTCCCCCCTCCTCGCATCCCTGCCTCTGCCCTCCACGTGCCAGAAAATTCGCAACATCCCTCACGCGCTTCGTGGCCCACTAGGGAGCTCAACCTACGGCCCCAATAGCGACGTTCGCATGTGGGCGTCACGCTCGGTTCGGCACACCGCTCACGAGCTTCGTGGCCCCGTACGGAGCTCCACCTAAGGCCCCAATGGCGACGTTCGCATTTGAGCGTCACGCCCACTTCGGCACACCAAGCACGCGTCACGCCCGTTCCTGCACACCCCTCACGCGCTTCGTGGCCTCGTAGGAAGCTCCACCTGAAGCCCCAATGGCGACGTTCGCATGCGGGCGTCACGCCCGCTTCGGCACAGACCTCACGCGCTTCGTTGCCACATAAGGAGCTCCACCTAAGCCTCCACTGGCGACGTTCGCATTTGGGCGTCACGCCCGTTCCTGCACACCCCTTGCGCGCTTCGTGGGCCCATAGGGAGCTCCACATAAGGCCGCAGTGGCGACGTTCGCATTTGGGCGTCACGCCCGTTTCGGCACACCCCTCACGCGCTTCTTGGCCCCATGGGGAGCAGCTCCGCACAAGGCCCGGATATCAACTTCGCATGTGGGCGTCACACCCGTTTTGGCACACCCCTCATACGTTTCGTAGCCCCAAAACTACGGAGCTCAACGTAAGATCCCAATGTCAACGTTCGCATGTGGGCGTCACGCCCGTTTCAGCACACCCCTTGCGCGCATCGTGGCCACATAGGGGGCTCCACGCAAGGCCCCCATGGCGCGACATTCGAATGTTGTCGTGACGGCCGTTCCTGCATACAGACACACACACACACACACCTCACGCGCTTCATGGCCCCATAGGGAGCTCCACCTGAGGTCCCAGTGGCGACGTTTGCATGTGGGCGTCAAACTCGTTTCCCTACCCCCCTCACGCGCTGCGTGGGCCCATAAGGATCTTCAATACCGGCCCCAATGGCGACGTTCGCATGTGGGCGTCACGCCCGTTTCGGCACACCCCTTGCACGCTTCGTGGTCCCAAAGACGCTCTTCCGTTGGTCGCCGTCGTCGTCGTGTCGTCTCCGTCGTCTCCTCGTCGTCTCCGGCGTCGTCTCCGTCTCTGTCGTCTCCTCGTCGTCTCCGTTAATCGTCGTCTCCGTCGTCCCCAGTCTCCCTTCCCTGGGCCCTCCTAACGCGCGCCAGCCAAAGCGAACTTTGACCAACGTTGTGGCCAAGTCGAAGGGAAGCCCCTTCACTTTGATCCCTCCCCTTCACTTCGATCCCTTCCCCGCCAGGGGGGGGTCCCGGGGAAGGGGGGGGGTCGCCACCCAGATACGCATCCCCCCCAGTCGGTTTCAGGGGGAGCCAGAAAAGCTCCAAGACGCGGTAAGACTACCCAAAGAGGCTCCCAAGACAGTCCTCGAGGACCTTGAATCGCCGAACCATCGGTCCAAGACGCCAAAGTGGCCTCCAGACAGCTGAAGAGATTCTCAAGACGCCCCAAGAGGCCTCCAAGAGCACCTCCTAGAGGGCCCCGAGAGGCAATAATCATAGATTGTCCTTGAGATTCTCAACAATTTTGGAGTTCTCTCCTTGTCGGCTTCCCGACGGAGGCTCCCAGATGACCAAGGAGGCCCCCAAGATCACCCAAGAGGCCTCCACGAAGGCGGCTAAATTACCCAAGAGGGCCCCAAGACCGCCCAAGAGGCCTCCAAGACGGCCGGGAGGCCCCCAAGATGGCTCAAAGTGGGAGCCCACACGGATGATTCGAACGGACATTTCGAGCCGTAGGCCTGAGAGGCCCCAAGAGGCCCCGAGGAAGCCCCCAGAAGCCCCAAGAGGCCCCCAAGAGGTCCCAAAGATGCCCCCGAGAGCCTCCCAAGAAGCACCAAAAACCACCCGCGAAAAACCCCCGAGAGAGCTCGTCGTCGCCGTCGTCGTCGTCGTCGTCGTCGTCGTCGCCGCCGCTGCCGCCGCCGCTGCCGCCGTCGGTGTCGTCGTCTTCGTCGTCTTCGTCGTCGTCGTCGTCGCGAGTCGTCGTCGTCGTCGTCGTCGTCGCCGTCGTCGTCGCCGTCGTTCAGGGTCGGCGACACCGACCGTAAGGCCTCCCCAATCCACCGAAGACAATATTCACAGCTGCGGTACTCACAACTGCACATGGTTGGGTCCTTCGCTCGAATATTTGTTGGGGCCGCTGCATGCCACTACACCGAAGAGAAACAAGCCCCGTGGATGGAAAACGGGCCTGCCGCACGTCGGAAAAGGGGCTCATCCCAGAACTCTTACCGCCGATGGGGGGAGGACCAAGATCCAGATCACAATTGGACGGTTCAGATCCCAACTAGATGGTCCAGACACGGTCCAGATCCCAAACGCCCGAAACGCTTGGGGGGGTTCTACAGGAGCTTGATAGGTGCTTCCCTGAAAGCACCTCATGGACTTCGTGCAAGATTCCTGTGGGTTCCTGTACGGCTTCCTGCGGGATTCAAGAAAATCCTGGGGGACCCTGAAGACTCTAAGGCTTCCTGAGGGACGCCTAGAAGATTCCTGACATATCCCCGAAGCTTCCTGAAGGATCCCTGAAGATTCCGGACGACCCCCCGGATTCCTGAAGATTCCAGAAAGGTTCCTGAGGACTCCTGAAGGATTCCTGAAGCATTCCAGATGCTGCCTAACGAATTTCTGAAGATGTCTGAAAAAACCCTAAGAGATTTCTGAGGATGTCTTAAGGATTGCAGGGACTTCTTCACGATGCGCGAATAATGTTTAACGATGTGCATGTAGATGTCTGAGGACTCCTTTGGGATCTCTAAAAAACTGTTGAGGGTTCCTGGCGGCTTCCTGGAGATTCCTCAGAGGTTCCACAACATTCGCGGCGGCTTCCTGAAGGTCCGTGGGGGATCCCGAGGGATTCTGGAACATTCCTGAAAGGGTTTCCAAAGGGTTTCGTGAGGGAAGTCCTGAGGATTCCTGTAAGGCCTCCCGATGGATTACCGCAGGATTCATGTGGATTCCTGAAGATTCAGAGGGATCCCCGAAGAATTCCTGAGAGAGTCTTCAGGATTCCTGAGTATTCCTGGAGGACGCATGAGGATTATTGAACTCCTCCAATGGGATTTGTAACGGTTATTAATAGGTGTTTCCCTCATTGACGTGTCATACATGTTGAGTATACGTTTCGTGTACGTTGTGCATACGTTTCGCATGCGTTCCGCAAACGTTTCGTATGCGTTTCTGCTAGCTCTCGGGAGCGCGCCCAAAACGTTTCGTATAAATTCGATCGAAGCTTTGTATACATGTCGTATACGTTCGTAAACACTGCCGTCTTGGCGTGCATTGAGCCTATATAAGGCACTCCTGGAACACTTGAAGCTCGCAAATAAGACAGCAATGGAGTGGTCTAGATCCCAACTGCGCACTATAAAAACGAGCGGGCTCCTGTTAGGGAAACCACTCGGTTTTCATTGCCAAGACGATCTTGCAACACTTCAACTTTCTGTAACTGTGTCCAGCGGTTAGGATCTGGACCATTCCGGCTTTTCCACTGGTTAGGATCTGGACCGTCTGGTTGGGATTTAGACCGTCCGGCTTGGATCTGATCCCATCGCGGGGGGGGGGGGGGAATGGCGGCAGAACCCGCGCAGAGAATCGAGAGGGCGGGGGGATGCGCGAAGAGGAGGGGGGAACTGCAGAACACTGAGCTCCAGACTGCAAAGCATCGCCGATGCATCGGCGACGCGGTGCGGTCTCCACCCCGCATCTACTCCGGCCCCATGCTAGGCGGCCTTCGGGGCGGACGCACGGGAGAGGTTGCGCATCCCTGTGAAAATCGCCCGCGTGCTTTGCAGAGTGGCCTCGTCCCACCGCTCTGCCCCTTCAGAGGCAACTCCCGATGAGGCACGCAACCCTCGGGACACACCACGCTTAGCCTGCAGGGAGCGAGAAAAGCGGCAAGGGGAAGGCGAAAGGAAGTCAGATCGAATCGGAAACGCTGGGGACGATCGCAAGCTCCAAAGCTAAGGCCTGCCTGAACAGACGCACAGAAAACTTGTATCCCTGCGATGGCACCCCAATCATGCGATGTCCTAACTTGTGCAATATGTACGCTGTCACCCAGAAGTCGCGACCATTTTTCCAGGGCTGTTTTTTCACCCCGACTTGTTCTTTGAAGGTCCTGGGGCCAGGTCACGGCCCCCGGCGGCCGAATAGTGAGAACAACCTTCGCCCTACTCACGTCAAGGCGCTGCATGTCTGGGGAGAAGGAGGGCGTCAATGACGACGTCGACGACGACGACGATGATGGACCAGAAAGCAAACGGCACCACTCCACCTACGGCCCCACGGGCCGTAGCGTACACCAGGACGTCTCGCGTGGTTTTTTGCATGGTATACGCTACGGCCCCCCAAAGGCCGTAGCGCAACATGGAAGGCCGTAGGTGGGGGGTGCCGTTTGCCTTTTGCCGGAGATGACGACGAGGGCGACCACCAGCTGGGACGGCTTCGCCTTGAGTCCAGCCTTCACGATCTTCGCCTGGAGCTCGCTGTACCACTTGTCGCTGTACCTCCCCCCAGGCACGAAGGGTGCCGGCGTGCGGGCTCCGGGGGGAGGGCGGGGAGGGAGGGAGGGGAGGGAGAGAGGGAAGAGGAGAGTAGAAGAGGGAGGAGGAGGAAGGAGAGAGGGGGAGGAAGGAGAGAGGGAAGAGGAGAGTAGAGATGAAGTACCCCTCCCTCCCTCCCTCCCTCCTTCCCTGCCCATCCGTCCCTCCCTCCCTCATCCTCCCCCCTCCCTCCATCACGACCTCCCTCCTCCCTGCCTCCCTCCCTCCTTCCTCCCTCCCTTCCACCTTCTCGTGCCCCGTTCCCTCCCGCATCGCTCCCTCCCTCGGACGTCAGTAGACCTTTAATGGGCTCATCGGGCGCCCTCATGGCCACGGCTGGGTGTGCCTCGAAATGCTGGCCACAATACGCCACTGGACATCGCCGCTGGGGGGACAGGAGAGGGAGGAAGAGAAGGAGGAGGAGAAGGAGCAGGAGAAGCAGCGAGAAAATTCTTGTAATTGGATTATTGTGGTTCCAGGGCGCTCCCGTGTCCTCTTCCTTGCCCCTCCGGGGGTGGCCAAATCCCCCTTTCGTAAAATACCTTCTAGTGAAAAAGACCTGGGACCGGACCTGCCCTGCGCAGGCTCGCTAAACGTGTGGCCGCGACACCCTCTCGAGAGCCGAAAAAAGGACAACCTTGCTAACCGACCTGGCAGGTAGGGTGGGGGTTTCATCATGCTCCGATCTCCCTGTCCTCCCGGCGCGAATTTGGCGCGTCGTCGCTGCCTTGCCGCGCGTTTGGCGCCTCCTGTCCGCCAGCTATCGCGTTTGGCGTTGCTCGCACGCTCGCCAATTGTCTTGCCCACGCTCGTGTTGCGCATGGTTGCTTCGTTCGTTCGATCCCGCTGTCCTTTCCCACAAGGGGTCTCTGAAGGCCTGCAGAGGTTCCCAGACGTGCCCGCAGTCCCGCCAGAGGCCCCCGGGTCCTTCAGACCCGGCGCCCGCCGCTGGCCTCCCCGCCGGTATGAGGAGCCTCGCGCACGCACGCTGGCGGCAGGTATGGCCACCCGAAACCCTGACTTTGCGGGGGCTCCCGAATGGAGCAGACCTGTGGACCAAACTCGGGGATACACGACGGGGGGATGGGTGGGAACATCCTCGATGAGAGTGCGTCGGAAGAGCCCCCTGTCGGTGCATCTCTGAGTCTCACCCGCCCTTTGGGCTAAGGTGGTGTATCGTCCCTGGAGGTGTACCTCCCTCCCCTCCCCGTTTTTTTTGAGGGGGGGGCGCGATTGGTCATGATTCCCAATGTGGTTCCACGAGGGCCTCCAGTGCTCCAAGATGGCCCCTAAGATGGGTCAAGAACGCCGACGATGATTCAAGATAGCTTCTGACATAGATTCAAGAGGCCCGACGAGAGCCACAAGACGGTTCCAAGTGCTCTCGGAGCCCCAATCAGAAAACCCCAAGAGGCAGACACCTTCAAGTACCTAAAGAAACCCATTGATGTCTACCTTCTCGCTGTTTCGCTTCCGATGCACTTTTGAGGCCTCAAGATGGCCCCCAAATGGCCAAAGAAAGGCCCAATACGGGCGCAAGGTTCCGCCCAGACGGCCCCAAGAGCGACCGGCCGAAGAGGGCCCCAAGAGCGTCCCACAGGCGATTTTGACAAGGGAGAGTGGTGGCAGAAATCCTCCAAGATGGCCACCCCAAGAGGCCCGCCAGGGCTCCCAAGAGGGCCCCAAGAAGGCACAAAGAGGGCTACAAACGAGCTCCAAGAGGACACCAAGATCCCCCAAACGAGTCCCAAGATAGCTCCACGAGGCGATTTTGAAGGCTCGGTCAACGTCCTCGCTGTCATCCTCCTCCTCCTCGTCCTCGTCCTCGTCCTTGCCATCATCGTCGTCTTCCTCGTCGTCGTGGTCGTCGTCGTCGTCCTCCTCCTCCTCGTCCTGCTCCTCTTCCTCCTCTTCCTCCTCCTCCTCCTCCTCCTCCTCCTCCTCCTCCTCCTCCTCCTCCCCATCCTCGTCCTTCAGTCGACTCCACGTGGGCCCCAATATGGCCCGAAGATACCTCCAAAGACACCCCCATGCTCTCAAAGATTTCGCTGTTTCACTGCATGTCTCTCGTCGTCCCTTGTCCCGTCTATTCTCATGGGCAGGGTTTGTGGATGGGCTGGTTGGGATTTGTTTGTTTGATCTGCGGCTCCAAGGACGATTCCAGAGAGCGGGTCGTGTCGAGCATGGGCAGCACGCAAGATAATGACCAGCGGGCCAAAAGCCAACGCCGGAATGCACATGAGGGTGGACCAAGCAAGAGCGGACACGCAAGATAATTGCCACCGGGCCAAAAGCCGACGCCGGAGGGCACAAGCGCCAAATAGAGCAAGCGTGAATCCGTGCGAGATAATGCGGGCCAGCGCCGGGATGCACATGCAAGCGGAGAACCTAAGAGGCCCAGCAAAGCCAGGCACCGAGCAGGAAGATCCAGCGGGCCAAAAGCCGACGCCGGAGGGAACCTGCAGAGGAGGAATGAACCGCACGCCGCCGACCGACACACGGTGAAAAGGCATGAACCAGAAACCCTCACTCACGGAGCATCTAGGGCTCATGGAGACCTGCACGCAACCAGTAGGTTAAAGCACCACTGAACACGGTCGTCAGACGAAGTGCGTCGAGGGAGGCGCGGGCCCTCCCGCCGACCGCACCAGGCTGAGGTGAACCCGGGCGGGAACGACCATGTCCGCGAACGATTCACGTGATGAAGCCGTCGTAGGCGCCTGCCCCAGGGGATGCCACCGAGCAGTGCCGACTTGAGAAGGGGGGGGGGGAACGAAGGGGCGGGCCTTAGGCCGGCGTACCCAGCCGCTCGAATGCCCGGGCGGGCGAGGCGGGCCCATGCTCGAGAGAACCAGGCCAAATCCCACCGTGAGCGTGGATTATTTCAGCCGACGCCACACGGGCTAAGTCCACGGTGCACCGTGGAAAGCAAGTCGCAACATGGCCCTAGTGGTGTCCCACATCCAGGGGGGGATGCCGGGAGTGCCACGACTTGTCACTGAGGTGAAACAACCACGACGAGCGCCCTGATATGGATGTCGAGGAGAAGTATTGGGATACGCGAAGCGTGAATAATTTCCCTTTTTTCTGACCGATGGAACTTTTTGGGCGGAGCTCGGGCATTGGGGGCCAGACATCGCCTGCGACACTCTGGCTCCGCCCTCCCTCCCCGCGCGTCATCTCGAAGCCCAGGACGGGCTCGACGGCGTGGATGCATTCGAACTGGCCGCTCTCCTCAGTTGACGAGGGGAGGAGGACGCCGATCCTCCTCCTGCTCCTTCTCCTCCTTCTCCTCCCTCTCCTCTTCTCAGACCTCCGGCGACATGATATGGTCAATCCAGGCGGTGTTCCTTGATTTTGGCCCCCAGGGCCACCAAAATAGATCTGGGACGCAGGACTTTGGGCACTGAGTGGAGTGTGTGGAAAGTGTCCTCAGGCTCCTTCCATCCCGAGGTGGCCCCTGAGACCGCCAGCAGGTCACCAAGAGGCACCGGAGAAACCCCCAGAGCTCTGAGGCTCACCATCGACCTCCAAGAGGCCCCCCAAAGGAGGTCCAAAGAAACATTTGCCAGCGTGAAGAGCGAGCGAGAAACCGTACGCCCTCGGCGCATGGGTAATTAAAACTATGCGCTGCCAGGGCAAGGTGGGCAGCATGGACCCCTAACAGTGCATTATCACACTCTGGATGTATGACATGTGGTGCAAATTGTGTGGTGCCATTTATACCAGTGGCACGTGTGTGCCCAGGCTCATACAAAAAAAACTGAAAGGGCGTTTGACGCAGGAAGACACCATGACTGCAGGATCGGAGATGCAATAGGGGAAGCTGGGGCGGCGCCGCCAGGGCGTGCCTGAGAGAAGGGGAAGAGGCAGGAGGTGAACGCAGAAGAATCTAAGATCGAGGTCGCACTCGAGCGCAAGTGGGGTTGCCACACCTTGCGATGTCTGTGTGTGTGTGTGTGTGTGTACCAAGACCCCCCAGGAAACCTCAGGAGGCCCGACTTGGATACCGGAAGAGGCTCCAGGAGACCACGGGATTGTGAGTGTTGTGTGTATGTGATGTGTGCTCTGTGTTGTGCGTGTTTTCTGTGCGTTGTAGGTGTTGTGTGTGTTATGTTTGTCTAGCGTGTGATGTCTTGGGTGTGATTTGTGTCTCTTTGTGTGCATGTAATTCTGAGGCCCCAGGAGACCCCAGGAGGCCCCAGGCGGCCTCAGGAGGCCCCAGGAGACACCAGGAGGCTCCAGGAGGCCCCAAGAGCCTCCAGGAGGCCGCAGGAGACCCCAGGAGGCCCCAGGAGGTTCCAGGAGACCCCCGGAGGCTCCGAGGCGGGGTCTGGGGTACCAGAACGCACAGAAAGCCCCAGGAGGCCTCAGGAGGTTCCAGGAGGCCCCCAGGAGGCTCCGAGGCGGGGTCTGGGGTACCAGAAGGTACGTCGGGGCTCGATGTTTGGAGGATGTCTCAGGCGAAACCGCCATTCTTTGAGAATCGGAGTCAAAATCATTGAAAGTACCATATGTTTTTGAAGGTTGTATGTTAGAATGTTGAAATTCCAATGTGTTTTTGGACCAGGACGTCACGATCTGCGTGAGAGGTGCCACCGATTTTCAGAATTTCGAGGATGTCCCAAGCGAAACGGCCAGAATAATCGCGAACGCCCCGCGTACGCACTAATCGCCTCTGAGATACACACATATATGTACACACACACACCTATACGACCGCCCTGCGGGCGAGAACGAGGTTGGGGGGATTGAGATCAAATGCCCCCCCTGACTGACCTCCAGCCTGTCACCTAGATAGCATGTATGTGTTTCTCTCTGTCTCTCTCTCTCTCTCTATCTCTCTCTCTCTCTATCGCCGTCTCTCTCTCTCTCTCTCTCTCTCTCTCTCCCCCTGTCTATCAGAGTCTCCCTCCACCACAATGATGATCGCGATGACGATGGTTTCCAACTATCTACCGATCCATCGACCGACCGATCGGTGAATTGCACTGTCGATCTCACTATCGACTTCAAAAGCAGGATGAAAAAAGGCCGCCGCAGGCGCCGAAAAACGATTTGTTGTCGGACAACCACAGGACAACCATCG